GAGTTTTGGTTTTTGGAAGAAGAGAAATATAAGGTTTACAGGTTTTTAAAAAGAGAAACCTTGACAGCTTTTTTCCTTCACTTTTCTCTCTGTTACCTGTAAGTATGGTTTGTTTCTCAACAAACTTATTAACCTCGTAACTTCTGCTTTAATTTTTTTTTGTTTGGGCTCGTTTTTTTGGTTCTGTTTTTTGCTTCAGTAGGTGGGAATTCTCGGGCGAATGTCCTTTTTGTTGAAAATGCAGTTTAAATGTTCGTGGTTTAATTTTTTCGATATTGAAGTTGTTTTTAATACGGAAAAAACAGAATGCGTTTTATGATATTCGAAGAATTTCGACCTCAAAATCTGATGCTCAGTTATGGAATTTTGATCTACATAGGGGTTTTCTTCATGCGCAGGGTTCGATGAGATGAAGCGTTGGCAAGGGTGAGGGGGGGTTTCAGTTTGGGGGAAGAGGAAGTTGAGTTCAAGAGGAGATTTTTCTTTTTGGAGTTTTGGAACTTTTTGTTTGAATTAGGGTATCTTTGAAGCTCCGTTTTTGTGAAATGCTATCGTTGAAAAGGTAGAGGGAATTGAGTTTGATTGAACAGGTTTCGGTTGTAATTGTGAAAAGTACTGGTGTTTTTGGTTTTCATTTTTTTTTTCCCCTTAGATTTTAAACGATGATGTTATCGGCATCACCAACAACGCTGGCGAGGAGCTCGCTGGAGGAGATGCTGGACTCGCTGCGGAGGCGAGATGAGTGCGAGAAGCCGAAAGACTTGCCGCCGGCGCTTCCAGCTCGGCCGACGTCGAAGGCGCGGCTTCCTTCGGCACGCCGCTCGCTCCCGGCGGGCTTCGGGCTCGGAGATAACATAGACAACAACGCCGGGGTAAACGGCAGCAACAATATCGTTGCTGTCGAGACCGAAATGAAATTGAAGGAGGAGGGGAAAAGAAAAGAGAGGGTTTTGGGAGGGAAGAGGAATAGCTTCGGAAGCAAGAAAATGAGGACGGGGCAGAGTGGGGAGTGCCCGTATGTTGCGGATGCAGCAGCATCGGAGGCAGTAGAGGAGAGGAAGAGTGAGGGTCTGGCAACTGCTGCGGTGGTTAATTCAGCAAAGGCAACGGCGGATAAAATTGGAGAATCAGAGTGGAATGATAACATTGGATATTTCATCAAGAAGGTAATAACGCGGAATCGACTACTTATTATTTTCCTTTATTGTAGTATTCTGAGTGACTGGGAAATGTTTTAGCGCCATTGTCTCTTTTATTTCTCAAGTGGCGAACAAGAAAATTTTCTTAATTTGATTTTTACGGAGAGGTTAAGGGTTTTAATTTAACGACTTTATGCTTCTCTAAGCTTGTGTAGCCTGGACAATTGGATCTTAGTATTGATTGAAATTAGGAATGGGGAATTGATTTCACACAGACGACTACTTACTATCTTTCCTTATTTCTATCATCATTGACCATGGTCTACCTGGGTGTTTTATTTCTGAAATAGCTCTGATTTTAGTAGTATCTGCTCCCAGAAACTCCGTGTTTGGTGTCGGGTTCCTAACCGACAGTGGGAATCAGGAATAATACAATCAACTTCTGGGGAGGAAGCTTTTGTTTCACTGTCCGATGGAACTGTAAGTTCAACAAACTCGGGCCTTGGTTATTTTGTCGTGGGTAAGCTGTTGGTTGTACCAGTAGTTATGATGTGTTGTTACCATAGGTTGTGAAGGTGTCTGCCGGGGAGCTTTTACCTGCAAACCCAGAAATTCTTGAAGGTGTTGAAGATCTTATACAGCTTAGTTATCTGAATGAACCATCTGTTCTTCATAATCTTCAGAGAAGATATTCTCAGGATATGATTTATGTAAGTATTACATAAAGACTTTTCCCTTATATTTGTTAGCCAGGTGCATCCCTCTGTTATGCTATTTCTTGACTGGTTCTTATGTCTATCTGTATAGAGTAAAGCAGGCCCAGTTTTGGTTGCAGTCAATCCGTTCAAAAATGTCCATATATATGGAAATGATTTTATTACAGCTTATAGGCAGAAAGCCATTGACAGCCCTCATGTTTATGCTATAGCAGACACGGCTTACAATGAAATGATGAGAGGTGAATGGAAACCTGTTATCTTTCGATTCTACTTCATGAACTTATAAAATACTTAGGTTACCTGGTGCCTAACTATCTTCCCTGACACTCTTTCTTTTTACTGTCATTATCACTTTACAGATGGAGTGAATCAGTCCATAATCATCAGGTCTGTTGCGCTTATAATTTTAAGAAATTTCTCTTTTATTATTGTTTAAGCTTTTTTTCTAATTTCACTCTATTTTTTAATTGCTGTTTACAGTGGGGAAAGTGGAGCAGGGAAAACTGAGACAGCTAAATTTGCTATGCAGTATTTAGCTGCTCTGGGTGGTGGTAGTTGTGGGATAGAATATGAAATTCTTATGACAAATTGTATACTTGAAGCATTTGGAAATGCAAAGACATCGAGAAATGACAACTCTAGTCGATTTGTAAGTTTCTCATTTTACCCTTCTCTTGCCAATGGAAGCTAGTTCCAGGTTTGCTTTATTTCCTAGCTCCAGCAATATTTTTGGGTTCATCATAATTTTCTTAGTGACGAGTGATTCCATTTCTTTCCTACCAATATATAATAAGTTTTTTTATTGAGTTGTGTGATTCTTTACAAATTTATTAAAATATGTGCAGGGGAAATTGATTGAAATTCATTTTAGCACATCGGGAAAGATTTGTGGTGCTCAAATCCAAACCTGTAAGGCTGTTTCTTTTAATTCAAGTTATGCTAAACTCTTTTATTACATGGTGTCTTTCTAACTGTAGTAATTGACTTGATTCTCTTTCACGAATTCATGGTTATGTCCAACCTCAATTCTCCATATGATTGTGGATAGTTCTGCTAGAGAAGGTAACTTTCTTCCCATCTAAACTTTAGTTTGAGACCTCAGTTATATCAACTGCTGCTGCTAAACTAGTCATATCTGATTTTGAGTAGTCGAGAGTGGTTCAGCTGTCAAATGGTGAAAGATCATATCATATCTTCTATCAACTTTGCGCTGGTGCTTCATCAATTCTTAAAGGTATAATTTTTCTTTACAATATTAATAAAAAACATTGAAGTTTCTTAATGTTTTGGATGATGTAAGATGACTGCATGCTGATCCATGTTCAACGTGGATGGTAGTGACAACTAATAGGATAACTTACTGAGGAGTAGCATAAGGTATCCCATTAGCAACAATGTAGAGAGGGGCAAGGGTTCTGGCCTGTGAAGGTGTGTGTGTGGATGCACTCGAGCAAGTCTCGTCAAAATATGGACTTTTAGTCTTCTGTCATTCCATAGCATTGAAAGTCTCTAAGCTATTGAAAGCTAGTCAACTACATGCCTACTGGTGCACAAAATTAGATAATTCGACCTGCCAGTTTGATGTTAAACCCTGAACTGACCTGTCATATGTTTCATATGGTGACATGGTGTAAGGTTAAATTAGATGACTGATGAAATTTGCGCGACACCTGGAACCATTTATCTTGCTAATCCACAAGTTAAGATATATTAATGTGTTGAAATAGGGCACACTTTCTGATGAACCAGGGATCATAGTTCTCTAGGATTTCTAATTGTTTCTTCGATTATCTTGATATGGTAATATCTTCTTAATGATTTTCTAATTGTTTCTCCTGATAATCTTGATATGTTATGGTAATACCTTATTAATGATCTATTATTTTTTTTATTCAAGCTACATGACATAGTTGTAGGCATTTTTCCCTAAAATTATGAAGAATATTTCTCCTACAGTGGAAATCAATTCGCTTCTTTAAAATGCAGAGAGATTGAAGCTTAAAAAGGCTAGTGAGTACAACTATCTTAACCAGGGTGATTGCTTGGCAATTGATGGTGTTGATGATGCTCAAAAATTTCACAAGCTTATGGTAATTCAAAGGAGTAGATTGCATTTTCATCTTTTCCCCTCTTGACTTGTTTTCTGCCTTCAAGTATAAGTTTCATCGGTTTTCACTTATTTTTTTTTTTATATTTCACAGGAAGCCTTTGACATTGTGCAAATTTGCAAAGAAGATCAAGAGCATGCTTTTGAGATGCTTGCTGCGGTGTTGTGGCTCGGAAATATATCATTTAATGTGATTGACAATGAAAATCATGTGGAGGTGTTAGCTGATGAAGGTGAGACCAATAATAAGCTAATTTAAGCGTCAATCAACCTATTAGCATGAAAGTTCCTAATCAGAGTGGGATATGTTATTTATTCCAGTTGTTTCTTTTTATTCTCAAGATCAGTGTGGTTACTTGGAATCAACCTTTTGGTAACTTTTGTGGATCTGCTTGGTAGGACAAATATTTCATGAAAAAAAAAACATTGGTAGGACGAGGCTGGGTTTGCACTTCAAAAATAGACGATCAATAGAAAAAAAAGAAAAAAAGGAAATAAAAAGGAATACTTGGTATAAGGTTACAATAATGATTTTATGTTCAATATGTTTTCGTCAATTCTATTTATGTCAACTTCTTGCCATAGATACTAAAACAGTAGATTCGTGTCAATTTCTTGCAATAAATATAGAAAAATTAAGACCATCTTTTTTCTCTATTGTCATCATTTGTTTCTGTGTAGCATGCTAAATTGTTCAAGTCCTCTGTGTACTTGTATCAAGGTTAACTTGTTAAAAAATTATGAAATTAGAGAAATTCTTATATGACTGCTGATTGTTGATTGTTTCTTTTGGCAGCTGTAACCAATTCTGCCACGTTGATGGGCTGCAGTGTTCAGGAGCTAATGCTAGCTTTATCTACCCATTACATCCAAGCTGGCAAAGATAGTATTGCCAAGACCTTGACATTGCGGCAGGTTTTCCTCATACTTGAGAACTTATTCTTCCCAAATATCTTAGGTGACTCATATTAACTTAGTCATTGTGATTTTCAAACTACTGAGTGTTTTGCAGGCAGTTGACACAAGGGATGCATTGGCTAAATTTATATATGCAAGCTTGTTTGATTGGCTCGTGGAACAGATCAATAAGTCACTTGAAGTGGGCAAACAGTGTACAGGGAGATCCATAAGCATCCTTGATATTTATGGGTTTGAATCATTCAAGGTATGCAATTTCTGTTTATATCTTTAGACACTCTTCATAGCTGTTTAATTTTATTCCTTGATTATACATTTTCTTCCATTGGCAGAAAAATAGCTTCGAACAGTTTTGTATAAATTATGCAAATGAGAGACTGCAGCAGCACTTCAATCGACATTTATTTAAACTTGAACAGGAGGTGAGCAATTAAGTCTCTTGTAGCATTATATTCTGGTTCTTTAGTCAGGCCCCACTTTTTTCTTTTCCAATGTAAAAGAGCCTTGAAGAAATTTATGCACATGGACACGCACACGCACATGCAGACACATTTACTATATCAAAATTAAATGTTCGTTTAGTTAGTGTCTTCTACACTGTCACGCAACTTTCCATTCTTCTTCTCATATATTAGTGGAATTAATATGCCAACGATTTAGCAAAACCTGAACTGCAGAATTGCAAATATGAAGAATACATCGCCAATTAGAATGTCTCCAATTAGGATATCTGACCCTCTTATATAAGATCCGAATAGTATTCTTATCCACTCTATAATATTTATTATGAGGTGAGAACCTTCTTATATAAGATCCAAATAGTATTCTTATCCATTATACAATATTTATTATGCTGACTCTTTCTTTTATCAGTTTGCTGGAGACATGTTTCCCTATTAAAAAGGAAATAAAAGGGGAGACCCTGATATCCTAGTCTGAGTTGATCTCCATTTTTTTTATTGATATCAACGTCATGGTCTCTGGATGTGTTTTTTCTTGGACTGCTTGTGGAACTTATTGTTATTATTTTTGTTTCTTTTATGGTATTTTCACAATTTACACATTTTTTCCAGGATTATGAATTGGATGGAATTGATTGGACCAAAGTTGATTTTGAAGACATCAAGAGTGTTTGGATCTATTTGAGAAGGTAATTCAGTGGTTTACTCTTCTCTGCCTTCTCAGTACTTTTCTGTATTTGTTTGACAGGTTATATGTTCCTTAAATTATGTGCTTGGATGGAATTGATT